AGACGGCAAGACTCTATGACTCTATATGAATCTCTATGATAAAGACATCCGAAGACATGCGAATGATTGTTCTGGAGGTGCGAGTGCTCGATAGAAACACACGCTGGGAGGCCAAACAGCAATGGAATGACCCAACATGGAGATGAAACCTCAGGGAGCAAACAGCATGGTTTCCCCCGGATTTCACATGGTTTCCCCCGACGGAAAAAGGAGTTGGTGCTAAACAGCCGAGACTTAGGAATCAGTCTACATGATTGCCACTACTGAACTGATCCAGGAACTATGATTGCTTCCCTGCATGAACAAGATGGAAAAAGCATGTCAGTCCAAAACCAGCTGCCCAGGTGAGTATCAACAGATGGTTGATCGGGTGAAACGCTTGTATGAGAAAGCCACCTTTGCCAAGCAACTAGGAGCCATCGAGCCCCGCGCGCGCCCGCGCCCACAAGCGCGCTTGCTTGCTTGCTTGCTTGCTTGCTTGCTTGCTTGCTTGCTTGTGGGGTTCATCCACCGGTGGAAAGAGTCACGAAAGGGCGGCATGTTTGCGCTCAGTTCTGCCGTGGAATCAGCTGAAAGGAAGGATAGAAAAGGCCTCACATCAGAGTGTTGTTCTGAACGGCCTTTCATGGAACATGTCACTTGGAGCTTCTTTTTGCAAGACACATATGGATTATAGCCATACCCTTTCTCCTATTTACAGCACCAGTGTGTCCGAAGGGCAGACAATGTTATCTTGAATTTGATTGTATTGTCGCTTGCAATACACTGTCGGGATGGTCAAGAGCTTGCATCCTGGTCCTAGGGCAGCTGCCTCACTGTCCAAAAGCCATGGTGATAGTGGTGTTCACTGGTGATAGGTCAATAAATAGGATTCAATAGGTTCATGTCTCACATCTTGGAAATCAGAGCCAGAAAGCAGTGCTCCAAACATTTTGAGAATTGACAAGGACACAGTCAAGCATGGCACAAGCCTTATAGAATTGAAACCGCTCCCAAGGGATTTTTAAGTATGGATGTATTGCATTGTCTTTGTGGTTCAATACGGCGTTGAGTTCTTATCCTTTTGTGGATGGCAGGACCCCGAAACGGAAACAGAGAATCTTTCCCTGATAGAGAAAAGAGATGACTTGCCGATATCAGCGGTGGTCACAATATATCAGAGATATAGTACTTTTTTAAAGTGCACTTTCATATTACATATATACTGCATGTAATATTGCATACCATATATAACATGTTAATATATCAGGGGTGTCACATCATTACTTTCTGGTGATTGGTGAATTCGCGGAAGAATTCATCGGATTCATCACGATGCCGTTGCCGTCCGCCCACGGCCGTTGCCGTCCGCCGCCGCCCGACCCTGAGGCAACCAACGGCCCTCTTCAAGCGCTGGAAGTCGATCTAGGCCAGACAACGACCGAGCGCTCCGCTGGCAGGACCGCAGTCGCGATCGTCGCTCGTGTTCAAAGGTTGGATTCAAATCTGAAGGGACTTGCATGGACACAACAACGTCCACGACACGTGGGGGCAACATGTTTCCTTCTTTTGCTCGGTGGGGCGCAGAACAGAAGTATCGTCTTTCCGGATTACCCTCTGTGAAGCTTGATATAACTATACCAGCACCTGACTCTTCTACAGGTCACCGAAATGGCGGCTGAAATGGAGACGTGGACCTGTTTGTGAGGGTGCTTTTTTCATACATCAATATGTCATGGTGTCCAAGATCCTGGGCGAGGTAGCCCTTCAAAGCTCACCTTGGAACCTGACACTTCAACTCTTCAAGCATTTCCACGAATCTTCACCCGGCAGAGGTGGGACATCACTGAAGGGTTTGACTTTGGATTTCATATTCGGAGCTCCAGAGCTCCAGTTGAATCCGTTTGAAGTTCCACAAATCTTAGAGACTTCAAGCCTTGTGAATCTTGAGACCAGATTTTGCGCGGGAATGGGTGATGGAATCAAACACAGGCCCTGCCAGGCCCTGCTTTTCTTCTCCCAGGAAGCCCAGGTCCGGTAAATCCAAGGGAACCATCGTGAGCCCATGTTCTGCGAGCAAATCCGACAGGCTCATGCTGAGAGACGCCGGGTGGTCTCATAGCTGGTGTTTTCATCAGAAATCGGTCCAAAGCCTTAGAGCTGTTGAGAGCTTTGTCAGGCCTCAGGAATCCAGCCAGGCAGGAATCCAACCGCCACCATAGGGACAACACAAATTCTTGGTCGTCAGACATCGGCCATCTTTGACTGCAGAAGGTTCACCGAACAACATTCTTGATGCACCTGGCGTCCGATGTGAGAAGGTTTATGAAGGTTTTCTCTTTGAGCATGTGGACATGCGTGTGGGACAATGGTGGCATCGAACAATGTCTATCACCTGGGAACAGGGAGAATTGTTTAGTCGGAGTTGCCAGGTTTTGACCATTCCCTGAGCAGAGCTTTGTGGCTTTGGACCAGTTTCGAACTCGCAGAGCAGTATGGCTGGAATGGCTGACCAAATTGAGGGGATTTGAAGGGCGATTGGAGATGAGTAGTCGGACTGACGGGACATCCATTGCAAGCTAATCTTGCCGTGAACTACGCCCTGGACGATTAACATGGAACCTGAAAACGGACGTTTGGAAGACCATTGTCCTGGATTGTCCTCTACAACCCAGTCATTTTCAGGTTCCATGTGGTACCGATTCCATCAACCACCGGCCCCTGACATCAACAGGGCCGAATGCCTGAACTCAAAAGCCTCTGTTCATCCGACGTCTCGGTTCATCCGTTCAAAGAACTGTCATTGACAAGGCCCCGTTCAAGGCCACTGGGAGACGCCACTGAACAGACGGTATACTTTAACAAACTGTTCACAATAGTCTGCTGTGATTTATGAAACAAGACTATTAAACAGAGCAGACTGCATCAAGCTTCGTAGAGTCGTAGATTCCTTTCTGGGATGGGTCCGTCCATGTTCTTTTTGGCTGCAGCGTGGACATCCATTTACCAGCTATTGGTGGGTATTCTCCAGCTGGCACTGGCACGAGTTTGGGACCTAGATTTGTCCATCCATCTTCAACTCCCAGCCGACTGCTTTTATTGTGGATTTCACACGGATTCTTGGCACGCCACCGGCTTTCTTTGGCCTGGCCATTGGAGAGATCGGACTGTGGATCGACTCTCCGTTCCCCACAAGATGAGATGTTCATTGATTCCCAACGTCTCTGTGAATCGGTGTCGTTGGTGACCTTTTTTCGGGGGGGGGGGGTTCCGTGGTTTTGGGGGGATGCGATTAGGGGAACTGCTAATACATGGGAGGGGTGTGACGGGGAGGTCGATGCATGTTGATGCATGTTGCGATGACCCCAGAGTTCTGTAAGCAACACTTCCACCGTTCCGCCTATTTTTGCCTGGATTTGCGCTGAGAGATGTCAAACAATTCATTGAAGATAATGGCTGCAACTTGTGTTGCGAACGGCAAGCCGAACGGCAATTCGCTTGCCTCCAAGTTCAGGTTCACCGAACTGGCACCCGTGACTGTGCACTGTGTTTTCTTCTAGATCACCTCTACAATACAATCCCGGAGTGAAGGGTCGGGATTTGATCCAGCGAAGAAACCAGCGTTGCTCAAGCAGCCCTAAAGAGCCAGCGGAATGAAACCCATTTGAATGCCAAGTCCGTTGTACATGCGATGACAGCGTCATGATCGTGTGGTTTTGGATGACTGTGACAACCAACGTCCAAGTGTAGAAAATCATAGTTGTTGTTTTTGATGCTAGTAGCAAGAAGCATATATACATAAAGCCAATACAAACATATATACTCACGCATGCATATATGCATATTATATGGAGATGATTGGTCAGCTTTGGAAGTACTGTATTTTCGACTGTAGACACTGTGTGTCAGTGTGTTCATTTTAGGTCTCATCAAAGACTCATCGGCCCTCTTTCTGCGCAGATATTTGATGATATGGGGGTACAGCCACCGATGCATGGTGCATGACACTCAAGCTTCTCCATAACACGCAGTCATCCAAGGCAAACTTCTTACTCCACTCTAAGATGTGGACTGAGGAGCCACGAAGCGTTAATCAGACTCCATGCTAAGGTGTGGATCAGGGCTATGAATGGACCCCCATAACCCTGCTCACCGGAGAAAAAAAGCACTTGCGACCCGATGTGCGGCGGTAGATGTGGCGGAGGAAGTGGTTGATGTGGGGGTTCGTAGCAATGCGCGTGGATTGGACACTCAAGTCAGGAAAATCGCTGGCGATATGTTAGGTTTTGCCTGTGCTGCTGCTGCTGCTGCTGCTACAATGACATTGAATTGGAATGACTGCATAAAGACGTTCTAGCTTGGAGGGACAGAACCTCTATGCTTGTAAAAGACCTCTGACGGGATCTAGAGTAGTCTATGTCGTTTGACCTCTAGAGCTCCTGGGCATAATTTCGGTATAATGATCGGTATGAGTATCGGTATGATCTTCGGATTCTGTCAACCAGTTTTATTCTGATCTAACTGGGAGTGTTACTCCATGTTACTCCTGACCCACACCACTGCTTTCGCGATTCACATCCCCAGTACCTCATCAAGGGATGCAAATGACCCCCTACCACCTCTCCACCACCTCTCCACCCGACGCGACCCAGGTCGACGCTTTTACCGTTCCGGAGACTTGGCCACGTGGAGCTCCGGATCCACTGCCTCCCCCGCGCTAGTCTTCGCCGGGCGTCGCTTGACACTGAAGAAGGTGAGGCATGGCGATGGTGAGGTGAGGCATGGTGAGGATTAGGTGGGGAAATGTTCGGCGTGGGACCACCGGAAGCGGGCATGGGAACCGAGGTTCGATCGATTCAAAATTCACCAGTCACGATCGAAAGCCGAAAGCACAATAAAGCACATATACATCCTTAATGTTGCGAGAGATGTGTTTGAAACGACGCGTCCCACCGAAAGAAACTCAGCTGTTGTGGATCGCAGCTGTTGGCCGCTCCAAGCGAGCCTTGGGCAGTTCTTAGGTGGAGATGAGTTGGTGAAAATCTTCGGCAAGTGAGCCCGTCTCAATTATTGGTCTCGTCCTTCTCTTGTTTCCTATACTACTTATATAAGTGTATCAATTACTTGCTAAGATCTATAAGTGATAGATCTTAGCTCACTTAGCTCTAGTAATTCGTCTACAACTAGATGCGTATCATTCCTATGTGAAAGGACAAGAGACGTTCCACGTCCGCCAGGTGGGTCGACCTGGCGGAGGTGAGTCGACGCCTGTCCGAGCTGCCGGGGAGCCCAGGACAGCCGTCGGCGGAAGCGGTTCCGCTTGGCTTTGGGGTGAGACATGAGTCTTTGGTGAGACATGGGTCAAGGATGTCTCATTCAAAAACACAGAGCCACCCATGTTTCACAAACAAACCTTGAAACATCAGATGTTTTTTCGGAGATATGGATTCTTTCAAGGTGTTTCTAGGATGCTTTGTTTGTTGGCCCAACAAATGGGTTTCGGCACAAGATGGCACATGATGCCGGTGTCCCAAGATGTTTGATGACCATGATTGCACCAAACTGGGTGATTTGTTGCATTTACTCTTCATCGACTATTTTCCAGTCTATGAGTCTTGCTGGGACATCTGTATTTGTCTTTTGGAAGGCAAGCAGGGACCATTCCATAGCCATTCCATAGGCATTCACAGCCTGGATTCTCCGACTCTTTGCGACCAGTGATTCGCTCCCTCTCATCCGACAGCCTAGGCCCGGAGTCCTGGAAGCTGCCACCGTGACCGGCGGCCCGGACGAACATTACGCCGCTCGGCGCGGACCAACCGGCGATGGACAACGACCGAAACAAGGGCCGACACATGGCCGAAGCCGCTTCCGTTGCCGGGAGTGGGTGGGGTGGTGGGGTGGTTGGATGCAGTGCGAACCTCCCCCCCCAACCGAGTGGGGTATAGGGATGGGTGGGGTGGTTGGGTGATTCGATCCCATGAATGGCCTGCGCAGCATCAAGGGCATCGGTCGGTGAGTTGCTGGCCCCGCATGGCACCGACCGAGGCAGCGGCCGTGCTGGGCGACGGCCAGGACGGTGAGCGCTTGGCGCCGATGGCCGCCAAGGCCGTGGCGGCGTGCGTTTGTTGGTTTTCGGTTCCCATGTGTTCCTTCATTTTTCGGACGAACGAATTGGATGAACCTTCTGGATTGGCTTGATGCGAACCGGTGAAGCGAGAAGAGGGCGAGATGCGCATCTCGACTCCGTCGTAAGCATCGACTTCGCTCCACTGAGATCCTTCCATCCGGTGGAGTGCAGCTGCATTGGCGATCCCAAACATGTCTTGTCGAAGCAGTGTTTCTGACGCTTCGCTGGACGGCGGACTGTGAAGGGCCAGCTTGGCACTGTGGAGTTTTGTTTCATTCTTTGCATTGCCATTTCTGTAACAGAGATCATAGAGCCGTCGAGGTGAATGTGGCCCCACGTAGCTGGTGACAGTAGCCGATACGATGGTATTTTGATGTATTTTGTTTTGTGACCCGGTTGGTCTTAACCCCCAAAAACATCCAAAAACACAGAGAAGCAGTTTTCGATGATTGTTCCTGGTCTACCCTCAGAGGTGACTGAACTGCCAGGTTCCAGAAGCCATTGCCAAGAAAGGCTGAGACACAGAAGGCTGCCGATATCTGCTGATATTATTTTTGCTCGTTGCAGTTGCTCGATCGAAGATATCGAAGCTTCCTCACGGTGTAAACGATCAAGCAGATAGGAGATGTGATCCAATCATTTACTGCAATCGATTGTGAACCCTTTATATACAAAGTACTGTAATCAATATGAAAAATATATGGAGCTACACATGTTCTCCACCACAAAAAAGTAATACCTCCGCCATACCGCTCCTTTTCGGATCAACCTGGAGTCCAAACAGCGGAGCCGTCCTCGCGCCGTCCTCGGCGCCGTCCTCGCTTCGCCTCGTTCGCCTCGTCTCAGGTGGATCGTTTGCGCCTCTTGGCCCAGCTCCGGACAGCTCCAGCGACTGGGCGCACCACGCGCGCCGAGACCGCGGTGGAGACCGTGGAGACCGGCAGAACGAGGCATGAAAGAAAGGAAGTGTCGACAACGGGTAGCGTGAGATGAAGATGTATAGACTGGTAGAGAGGTCCTTTGAAGAGTTTTCTTCGAGTTGGATGGCCACACTTGAAGGCAACTCGCGGAATATTTGACATCGTGAGCACTTTGCACTTGTTGATTGCTGCACAGTGGATGTTGAGTGTTAGTGAAAAGACGGCCCTGTCACACCCCGCGTTTTCCACACCCAGGAAAATCATATGTCTGTCAGTCACACAATTTCTTTCATAGACATACATGGCACTTTGTACCTCCGAAGTTGGCAGGCAGCAAGAAGTCTTGATGGCCAGCATCACGGAGGCTTGCTCAGAGCCACTGACGACCATGCTCATGTGAGTCAAAACCTCCCCCACCAAACCATGGGAGCTTGACATCATCCCATGTTTAAAGGATTTTAAAGGGATCTGTTCATTTGACCCGGAGGAAAAAAAGAACCGGATCAAACCCATGTGGCGTTCGCCAGGGTCAATTCCATGGTCCGTTCGTCTGGGTTATTACCCACCAGTTGAGACCCCCTGGTGGATTTCAGGGGGTTCCATGGATCGAAAAAAACAGCGATCGAAGTACACGAACCTGAAGATCAACATGGAACCCTGAAAACCGCTCGGTGTTAAAGGAACATAGTCCAAAGGTCCATTCTCAGGTTCCATGTTAATCTTCGGGGTGTACACGGGTCGTGTCTGGGATCGCAGGTCTTGGGTGCTTCGGTGCCCTTGGGCGAGTCCTTCTGCGCCGCCGGCGGCGACTCCGTGTCGGCGCTGCGCTGTGCGGCCGCCGCGCGGCAACGGGGGCACGGGCGGCCCAGAGGATTCTGGGAGGGTTTTGGGTGTCCCAAGTAATGAGGACTCTTGAGGACCATAAACGCCCCCCAGATGAAGAGGACGTCCAATTCAATTGGAAGGGTTTATGGTCCTCAAGAGTCTACATTAATTGCAGGATGTGAGGGATTTGAGTTGATTCTTAGAGTTTGGGCAAGATGATTGAACAATATTCAACAATCCTCGATGATATGAAGCCTACAGATTTGGGATGTTGGTTGTCATTATGTAAGCAAATTCTCTGCCAAATAGGCACCCCGACCCCTCATCCTGACCCCTCAACGATGATATTCAACACGTTATTTTTGGATGGACGAGTTCCCCGCGACGAACGAACAGGTTGGAGATCTCTGCCCTGGACTTGTTGGCTGCGAAGACCTTGGCTGAGGCTGCAGATGCTGAGGCGAGCGGATGTGGAGCGATTGACAGCTGTGAAGATGTGGAGCGGATGTTGTGATTTGTTTCATTTGATTTACCCTCCCGCAAACTAACATGGAACATCATGGAACCTGAGAATTGCATTTTCCTCTACAACCAAGTGGTTTTAGGGTTCCATGTTAATCTGTAGGGAGTATCTTTTGTTGTGATTGATTGTAGTTCAAAAAAAAATCTCAGTTGTCACACAAACCCAAGTTCTTTCAGGGAACAGACAATTACGACCACGGCTTCCCGGATTCCAACTAGTCGGTTTGAGTCCAGATTAAATTAGATATGTTCTAGATTGCAAAACATGAACATCATCACCATCCTATATTCTTTTGACTGAAGCTACCTTGATCACTTTACTAATAGGTCCAATCTACCACAATAGCAACCGATCTTTGCACAACTTGAGTTATAAGATTTGTAAGGGGGTCATAGGGTCATACACAGCAAATGGTTCTTGTATGTCCAGAGCTGCCATCTCGTCCATGGCAATCAAACGTGTTCGTCCATGGTCTTTGCTCCATCTGCACGGATCACAGGGGGCCGGCCCTGCGGCACAGGCCTTGCAAGCGCCTCTGAAAAGACAGCGACGTGGCGGCTCTGACACGCTCCTGGGCTAAAAATTGCTTGCATCAGAGGTCAAAGAGCCGCCCTTTTGGTCGATAGATCAGCGTAACTGTCCTCCGGCTGTGAAACAAACACCTGTGGCGTTGGCGTCTTTTTTTTAACGTTCATGGGCGCGTTCATTGGCGCGCCGTAAGGGTTATGCCAGGTTGGCCAACGAGAATCTGTCTAGTCTTCCTTGGGGCTTGAGTCCCGAGGCGGGCCAGCCGTTCCGGATAGATGTGGTCGGCTCGAGTTCTGAAGTCAGAAAGGCACAACCAAGCAATATGTACATGATTTGGTTGCAAGCACAACCTATTTATTGCCTAGGAAGCCGTCATGGGCTTCATGGGGTATGATTAATTTGTTAACTTCTGATTCATGATCCACGCGCGAGAACGGAGTGTTTTTCACCATCTTTCGACTAGCAGCAACAGGTGACTCTTTGAGCCAGATGAGTTTGAGTTACTCCATTGTTGTTGGCTTCTTTTCGTCTCAGCATTACATGTGAATGCGCACTTGATGACCAGTAGATCTCTCTTGATGCCCAAGAAAGGAGGGTTTGGGACTTGGATTGTCTTCACCTAAAAGCGATATACCTCTCAAAGACTCTTTTCTGGCACACCTGGCCCCACTAAATCAACTACAAGAAATCAAACAACAACACCTGTTGGGTCCAGACCCAACAGAGGTCAAGAATCAAGACCTTTTCTTTTTCGCAGACCTCCCGCTTTTTGCGGTAGCTGAGAGAGCCGCCCACTTCGCGAAAAGGAGCTGGAAGAGGAGATCTCCATCCAACTGGGACTGCCGCAGCGGGTCTCCAACTGGGCGCGCGTTTCCAAGCGGTGGAGCGAGAGCTCGCTCCCGGATGGAGCGCCGTGTGGCTTCGTTGCAGGTCGATCATATAGAGTGTAGTGTAGGGACATGCCGATTTGCACCTTTCCACAACTTGCCACGCACGCATGCGCACGAATTGCATGCACATGTTCACAGTGGTGGCAAGGCTGTGGAGTCAGTATGGTTCGGGGCCCGAGGTGCAATCACGTCAAAGAGAAGTTGTCAATCCACTCAAGCCAATTGGATCGTCCTTTGACAACTTGAAGACATGGGAAAACACCTGAAAACACTGAGGAAGCTCAACTTTGCCCCTTGAAGAACTCTAGATCTCTCAAAGAGGTGTCTCTCAGTCTCTCTATGCACGGCCGCGAGTTTTTGCCTTGGCTCAGTTGCACTTACAACTTGCTGCTTTACATGCAGACAACTAATTTGTCATAAGATGTGATGACCATTCCGCAATCAGTGCACATGTCCGGAAGATAATCCTTGCGGTGGTATGTCCTGTTTTGACCTGCCTTTGCAAGTATGTCCCTCCGCTTTCATCCCTGAACCTTGTCTTGCAGACACTCCCAGAGTTTTCAGTTTTTGAATGCACAGTGCTTTCAACAACATGTCCTTGTCATGCAGTGTGATGTCGCATGGTTTTGATATGTAGACCACTTAAAGCATCAATACTAAGCTCGGAGATACTTTTGCGCCATGCAGAACCCTCATTTAAAGGATGTCCTAGTGGCGGCCTCGGCTCTATTCTCACATTGAATGTGCCTTTTTCTGATTGGATTGTGTTTTCTTTGCTAAACAGGACCAATAGCCATCCAACGACTTTTTTTTAGGCGTCGGAAATTGTGGGATCGACTTGGACGTGAGAAGGTACGGTTCCGCTCACTAAGGCTGTCCGTGCTCTCAGTCCTTCTTCAGTCCTTCTTCTTCTTCTTCTTCAAGCATCATCTCACCATATCTCACCCACCCCCTGTGGTTCACCCACATCGAACCGTTCGAAAAGAGCAAAACAAATACAAGCCGAAAAACCATGGCATGACAGCTATGAACACCATGGCGTGACTACGTATGGCATGTCCCTCAGGTGAACTTCCCCGACGTGGTGCCCGACTCCCTGCCGTGGCCCAAGGATGCCGACGCCTGGAGTCTGAAGGCGGTCGCCCGGCGCGCCGCGCCGTCCGGTGCCGGTGGACACCACCGGCCCCTCCGGAAGCTGCGGAGCACCTGAGAATAAACCCGTTTCTTTCGAACACGAAGGAAGAGCGTTCGAGGGAATGAGCATCAAGATGTGCGAAGATTGGGGAAAGATGGGGAAAGAGTGTCCTCTCCTCGCAGGTCTCGTGGTGAGGTGGCTGAAGATTTTAGTCGTTCAGTTGTTTGGACTCCACTGTGGCGCCAGGATCTCGAGATCTTCATCGGTAGTGGTGGATTTCTAAAGCCCAAGAAGAAGGCAGGTAGATGAGGATGAACAAGTTGAGGACACAGCTGGCTGTCCAATGTATATAAATCCGAAAAAAGACATACAAAAACAATCAAAAATATACCATCTGCCAGGTTGTTGAGTCTAAAGTCTGGCGATTCAACCATTTTTAGGCCCTTCAACTGAGCATGTTCAGCAGTTGTACTGCAACATACTGCAACCATGCACCGGAGGCAGCTGCCCCTTCAGCACCTCCAGCACCGCCACGCACAACTGGCGCTTCCAGCCCTGAACAAGCGGTGAGTGGCTATGCCGAGGTCGGGTATTTTTTGGCAGGGGCAGGTGGAGGGATCGGAGTTGGGAGAAATGCAGGTGAAGTAGCATTGAAGTATATAGCATTGGGCGATATTTGGCTTTAGGAAGTTGGGAAATCTCACGAAAGGGGGATCAAAACCTTGCAGGTAGGTCAGCATAGGTCAACCGTTCTTTGTCCTGATTTTGCAGCCAAATATCTGAAGAACAATATATGCAACTTCACATCGCAGAAGTTGCAATTTTCCGTAGCTAGTACTGTCCCTTGTACCCTCCTCCAGGGGATTGTTGTGCTTCAGTTTTCAAAGTCTAGACTTGAACCGCGCTTAAAAAACATCGGGTTTTTTGAGAGAAGACTGAGCCCGAATAATCCCAATACTTTGTGGCTGATGCTGGTGCTGCGTCCCTGCCAGGGGGGAGAGGCCTTGTTGTTCCTTTTGATGTATACTCTTGTTCTGCCTCCCGTGAACTGGCTATGTCTTGCAGATTTATGACAATCCTGGGACTTCATTTGCCGAGCAGATTCAAGTCAATCTTCCAAGTCCATTTTGATGAATGCTAGGCGGCCCAAGCCACGTGATCTCCACGTCATCGCTGCTTCAGGCGAACGGCACCGCACTCCCTGCTGCCGATGCGGCACCGGCCGTGCCGGCGCCTTTCGGCTTTGAAACGCCCGGCTTCAACCAGGCGGCGCGGCGCCGGTTCCGCGAAGCGAAGCGATTTACGGAAGACTCGAGCTGAGCTGACAGAGCTGGGCGGACGTGGAGCTGACGGTGTTGGATTTGGGTGCTGGACTCGTGTTCTTCTTTCTGGTGGGATACATGACGGACCTTTCTACCAATGCGCTTCTTTTTACGAAGCCCCAAACCTGCCTTGGTTTTGGAGCGGAGGAGAAGCATCGCTTCATCATGCCGGTTCGAGTTCATTGCGAGGACTGTGACTGCTTTGTTTTCTTTGTTTTACCTTTTGCTCCTGGCCCCACTAAGATTTTCATGGTGATAGACAGGACACAGCTCCCAATGGGCATGCGGCTAGCTAAGTGGGTGCAAGTGGAAAGCGAGAGAGAGAGAGAGAGAGACAGAGACACACATAGAAGGACTTTCTTCACACAAATGCCAGACCTTCGTGAGATTCCATTGAAGATATTGAAGACTTGAAGATGAGATCACAAGGCTGAAAATAAAATAGATACCCCATATCCACGTTCACGTTTGGATGCATGTTCAAGAGTCTCTCTCTCTCTCTCGTTTGGAGTTTAGCTCTAGGTGCGCGTGGAGTCTTTGGTGGCCTATGCCGAGCGAATCCGAAGTTTGGCGTTGAAGCAGATTATGGCCTCTTGGTGGCAGGGATCTGGTGGGGATGACATGGATTTGGGTCAACATTCCGGCGATCCACTGGTGATCAGTGGTGGTTGAAGATCACCAACAAACTATACATTTTAAAATTTTGAGGGCATGCATGCACAGAATGGGGTGTTTGACCCAGAGCCGTGTCTCGTGTTGCAGAGAGCTTGATTCAGTGACTCCAAACTCTTGATCCATCGCCACAGTGGAACTTGAAATGATATGAAACGGCATATATACCATTTGCAACGTAGGGAGCCTTAGGATAGCTTGCCCGCTCGCAGCCGCCTTTTGGGTTCGGTCGGGACCTGTTCACAGACGGTTCTGTTCACTCGGGCCGTTGGCTCGCGATGTCGGCGCCCGTGGCACAGAACAACTTCTTCTTGTGGGGCACATGGAAGGCGAGAAAGATCTCGAAGCCCTTCCTGACGAAGAAGGTGCCGAGCACGTTGAAGAAAGTGGTGCTGGGTGAGAGCTGCGTTCTTGGATTGACCGAGACGGGGAAGGTCGTGTCTTGGGGTAAGGACTCCAAGACGGGTTGCCTAGGCTTGGGTGAAGAGAATGGGATTCCAATCGTGAGCTCTGATGCTCCGCAAGAGGTGCCAAAGCTTAAGGATGTGATGGACATTCAAATGGGTCCGGAACATGTGGTGGCCCTCACCAGCAGTGGAGAGGTCTATACTTGGGGCAGTGGTTCGAAGGGTCAACTGGGCAGTGGGCGATGTGAGACGCTCCACGCGCCATCAAAGGTTGAGGCTTTGAGCAATGAGCAAATTGTCCAAATTCTGGTCGTGAAAAGCTCGACCTTTGCCCTCTCCAGCAATGGCACCGTCTTTGCTTGGGGCGACAATCAGGACAACGCCTTGGGCTTAGAGGATGGGAAGTTGATGGAAGAATCGCCTCGAAAGCTCACGCTGTTGCAAGAGACGCGGGTGAGGAAGCTGGAGGTCTTTGATGGCAAGACCATCATTGCTCACATCCGTGGCAACGATTCCGACACCAACTTCGGGCGCTATGAGACCCTGCCAGAGGATGGTGGCCATGGCGAGAAGGAGGAGATGGAGATCTTCCAGGGCATCGATGAAATGCGGAAGATTATGGAGAAGACACAGGAGTGGTGGAACCATTTGCTGAACATCAAGCATGGCCAGCCCTATGAGCTTCCACAAGATAGCAATGTGAACTTGACAGATTCACCAACAAAAGTTGGTGCGAACATCCAAGATGATTTGGAAGTCGAAGTCGAACGACTCCATCGAGCAGAAAGGCACTTGGATGCTTTGGTCACAGCTGCAGTGCAAGAATTGCGGCGGACACAGCAGATGCCGGGCACCCGGAATGTGCGTTTCATCTTGTGCATGTTCATTGACGAGTGTCGTTTGAGAAGAGAGAAGGTGCAGCGGACCATCGCAGCCCGAAGAATCCAAGATGCCCGAAGGAAGGATGATGAAAAGGCCGCCTCCGATCCCATCTTTGCTTACTCAGTGAAGGACTTTAGCTCCAGCGCCAATGAGCATATCCGGAAGATCATCGCAGTGACCAAGGAGTTGCAACAGAGAAGAGATGCAGTTTCGTCCATAGTCTCGGTCGATGTGCTGAGTGAACTTTTGAAGGGCACCCTGATCAAATGCCTCGATTGCAAGTTGCAACTTCATGAGACCCAAATCGAACTCTTGAAGGTCTCGGAAGGAAAGCTTTGCGATCCGATGCTCCCCGCGCTGCGGATCATCAAGGATCGATGGGACTCCTTGAAGCATTTCTCACTCTATGCTTTGTACTTGGAGTGCGAGCAGAAAAAAGCTCTACTTCGGGAGCGATGATGCCCATTTGGCCTATCTGGTGAAGGCCTCGAATGCTCAGATCGACCAGATGCTTCAGATTGACAAGGATGACATCATCTCACATGACACCATGGTGCCAGGCCTTTGTTACGACCTTCTGAGAGAAAATGCGGAGCTTCGAAAGATGACGAACTCTTACCAACTCCATGTGCTCATGCTCTACCAGGGCAAGGACATCACAGATGCAAGTGTCGGGATGACCCAAATGGCAAACAAAGAAATGGGCCTAGCTGACCAAAGAGTCACGTCCATGTGACGGCCATTGGGCCGGCAATGAACATAGTCTTCGAGAAGAAGAGTAATTCGTGCGAAAGGTGATCCAAAGGATACCGGCAGCAAGCGAACTGATGGAAAAAGAAAGGCTTGTGCAATTTTGGAGGCTACGGCCACAAGAGCTTTCAAAAGACGACTTCTCAGAATGTCTGACCTGTTCTCTTGGAATCCTTTTTCTCGGATGCTGCAGAGGCATGACAAACATGTTTTTGCCCGGACCGGGCGTCAAAGTGAGCAGTGGCTGAGGGTATTTCCCTGGCAGATCTCAAGGAGCTGGGCGTTGTGAGGGACGACTGGGGACCTACCGCTGCTTCATACACGTAGCCGACTTAGCCCCGGCGCATGTGGCTTTGGCCCAAAGACCATAATATGCCATAATATGATTCTGCCGGTCAGTGGTCCAAAGGAATCCACTTAAATGTCCACTTAGTATCGCATCAAGTCAGCTTGTTTGGATGTGATATGATTGTACTGGCTGGTTGGGAATAAACCTTGTTGCAGGGAGATCTGGTAGTCATAAGAAGCTGATGTGCTGATGTTGCTTTTCACTGGCTCGAAGCGCAGGAGAAGAAATTGGCGATTCTCGCGACGGAGTTTGTGGTGGAAGTGGTTGGCGCAGGTGAGACGATGAGGGAGACGCGGGGAGGGAAGCAGGTTGAAGCTGGAGGCGATGAAAGCAGGTGGTAAAGCAGGTGGTCTGAACCTCCATCCTCCATCCCCGAAGAAGTGGGCCCTCCAACCTCCAACCTCCATCATCCTCCATCCAACAAACATGAAAGTGGATGGCCCCTGAAGAGCCGGACGACCCTTTTTCTTGGTCTCAATCTACAGGCCTTGCTCACTCACGTAGAACCATCCCCCAATATGAGGTGAACAGCGCATCCAAATGGGGTACGGTTGGATGAATCAAGAGTCTACCTATGATTGACACAAGTCAATCCACAGGGCCCGAGGCCCGGTTTGCCCACCCACACGGACCCTGGTTTTCTCACGGGTTCGACTGACTCTTCTAGAGGAACACAACTTGGTCGTCCAGTCTGTCTAGTCCATGCCATCAGGTTCAATGCGGGTCGGCCTCTTCCTGTTTTGTGTTCCTTTTTTCGCCCGACCATGGGTGACGTGGATTGTGGATGGCCAGAGACGGATCATCCGAGTCTCCACGGCCCATGCCATCTACTTCCACCTTGATTCTTTCAGGGAGTGCTCATTCTACTTCCCACTTATTCACCCACTAACAGTGGTGGGAAAATAGGTCCAGGGCTTCAGGTCCCAAGGGCGACTGTGGAGCCCTGTCCCGGGCACACGCCAGGCATCCGGGTGCTGGACACTTTGCGCGTCGAGACCGTGCCTGAGTTTCCAGCCGCACCACTTTTCCCATGGGACGCTTTCCGCGGAACAGGCGGTCTCCGCGGCGTTTTTCCGCGGCGCGGCGGCTTGCGCGCGGCGTGACCGTTTTTTTGAGGCGATCTCGGGTTCTGACTGTTTTATGTGTTGTTTTGTGTTATGAGCTCTATTGTGTCATGTGTTCTATGGTGTTCTATGTGTTCTATGTGGGTTTGTATTTTTTTGGCGTGTACTTCCTGAAGTAGTGGTTGGAAGTTCGACTTGAGCGATTCATACCCTCGAATCATACCTCGAATCATACCCCCGAATCATACCCCCGAATCATACCCCTCAAAACGTTACACGTAAGAACCAGGTGTTAAGGTGAAGTTTTTGGTTGGTCTTTGTGCCTTGTAGGTGTCCATGAGCCAATGGTGCATGACGTTTGCAATTGTGTGATCCATGGGCACTCAATTTGGCCAAAATTGTTTGTGTCTTCTTGTGGGAAGAGGAAAGGCTCACATCCCAGGGGTACTCACAATGTTCGCATGTGCTCTCCCTTGGGAAGAAGAGCCAAAGGGCTGCCTTCTTTTGCAGAATCTAATGGCCACACGAATCACACCCGATTCATGCCCGATTCATACCCGAATCACGCACCTCCACACAGTCTCCCACCCATCCCACATCCTGGTTGTTTTGGTGGGGCCTGCACAGAGCCACTGGAGTCTTTGGTGGAAGAGTGCATTTGCCTAGTTTGCCCAGCATCCAACGGATGCTGCTTGCCTACTGCCTCGGCGCAGAGTGGGCCCACTGCTGGAAGTCCAGCTAATCCAACGATACAACTTCAAAGCTGCGAATCATCTGCGAATCATACCCTCGAATCATACCTCCGAATCATACCCCGAATCATACCCTCGAATCATACCACCTATTCAAACTTCCCGGCCCGAGTACGGTAAAAAAATACACACCCATGTGTTGTGTTATGCGTTCTATGTGTTCTATGAGTTACGTATACTTATGTGTTGTTAGTATGAGAATAGAACTTTGCAATCTTTGCAAGCGAAAAGCATCGAAAAGCACTGGCTGGGCCTTGCTAGTTCAAACCTTGTCAGGGTGATGGATGATGAGATGAGTGAACCGACTCCTATAGGATCCTATAGGTATAGATCTGTAGATGGAATGGTCCAATGGCCACTTCCGTTCATCTCACCGGCGCACGCAACCTACGGAACCCCCTAGGAAGACCGGCAAAACAGGTGCCCGTCGACTGTCCATGGTCGACGGTCCACTTACGTTGCACGGTCGGACGGGACGGTCAGACGGTCGGTCACGCCCGTCGCCAGGGGCTCGACGGAGAGCGATGGCTCTTCATGCTACGAATAGCTTTACTTAATGGCCTAGCTTCTTGCTACTATAGACTATAGTATAGTAATAACGATTCCGTGAAACGATTTGGCAATTAAGCTTCTTGATACTAATTAATAGCTTCTTGCTGCTACTAGTAGTAGTGGCCTCCACCCTACTAGCCATGGCCTCCACCTAAGAGCGATGGCCTCCACCCTAGTAGCTTCTCACGAGATCGCAGCCCGGACAACGAAAAAGTGTTTGGAACACCTTGGAACACGCGGTCCACCAAACGACCCGAAGGTATGAAAGAGAGGCTCAGGTGACGTCGTTTTGAGGAAGTCTAAAGGAAAGACCGCCGTAACGTTCAGGCCCGAAGATGGTTCGGTGACGTCGTTCCTGACGTCGTGCGCATTCAATTTTCGATAAGAGAAACAGAGCGTGTTGGTTTCTAGGATGGAGCAACAAAGAAGAATCCATTTGTATTCCTTTTTCTAGTTATTTATAGGTAGGTGCTGGACGGTACAAACCAACTATGGCAAGGTAGCATGATACCATCCATACCGCATAGGTAGCAACGCTCCGGTGGTGGATGATGTGGATTCTTGTTTGCAGTCCACGACCGCACCGGTCGTCACAAGTATCGGCGCCATCGCGCGGACTTAGGACACTGAGATGTTCAAAGAAGATGGAACTCTTTACATGCGAGGTGCGAAATGATGGGAAGGTATGGAGTTACCGTGATGAATGCGAAACGAGATGTTCTTAAACAATAATTTAGCCATGAGGTTTGCCTTACTTTGCGACTTAGATGTTGAACGATTCTGAAGCAGCTTGGAATGTTCAACATATTGGGTGGCAAAGTCGCTCAGAATTGTTTAATGACAGGTGTGTGTCGTGATGCGACGTAAGGATTTGAATCTATATCTTTCTACAGTCTACAGTCCCTGTGTGGAAGCGAGTAGGTTGCTCCGTTTCAGGCCTTTTTGGGCTCAACCTTTGTCAAATCTCTAGCACTGGAGCCTATAGTGCGTGCCCCAGTGAGTATTGAAGCAATTTCGTTGAAATTTGTTGCACTGTTAGATATTTTTGCGACCGTGTGATACCAGGAAGCATCGTGTGAAAAGGCATATTTTATGGGTAGTTGGTCTGGAGTTTTCACTTCAAATGCCAATGACATTTAGATACTTTTAGTTTTCAGTATGATATGTTTAAACAATTATGGTTTTCATAGTTTGGATTTTGATGCCTTCCCTGCAGCCCAAGTTCTTTTTGGCCCAGGTGGGGTGGATGAATCCAACTACCGAAGCTTTACAAAGGAGAGTCTTCTGAGCTGACACTGTTTATCAGTACTATATACAATTCATAAGCCTCGCTTTCTTTTTCAGAGCTGGAGACGCCCAGCCAGTGGGTAGACTGGTCTATTTTAATGCACAGCATGTACTTAAGGGGCCGCATCCAGCTGAGACTGATCCCTTGCTTCGTGACCTGGCGGCAGGAGTTGAGCCGCTTTGCCGACCCGGGCAAGAAGAGGTTCTCCTCTACATCTCTGAGATTCTTCATGGCCTATGAGAATCTCAGAGAAACTCAGTTGAAGCTGGAAAGGTCCAAGAGTCCAAGAACAAATGAAGGATCGTCCAAAGCTGAAGTCGGGCGTCCTTTCATGGAAACAGCTTGCGGAAGATTGCGGAAGACGTGTGGACTTCATAGGATGGTAAGAACTTCCCATGGAGCTTGCAGATCTTATACAAATGTAGGGAACCTTGAATCCTTCGAAATCTGCCTCCTCTCCCTGGTTCTGTATTGGTGTTCACAGTGTTTTTGTGGACTCTTTTTTTGTGCTCTCAAAGCTTCACGATGGCGCCAACCAAGGAAGGCTGGATCGCCGTTTGTGCCTGAGAAATATGTGCAGGCGCAGAGGGAATTTCCAGCACGTTCGCGATCTGGCAAAGGACATTTCACATTTCAAGAGCTCTTAAATGGTCTTCAAGGCTTGGCGCCAACCGTTTTCTGCCCGTTCATCAGAGAGTTCCAAATCTTGACGCGTTTTCAAGAAAAGACTTTAAGCTATGTGTACATATGTGTTAAATTTTGAAAAACTACGCTTTAAGTAGTCAACTAGTATACTCATCATTTTTCATACATCTTCAGTTGGCTCCGAGAACCACTTCAACTCTAGCGCTCCTTCCAGTTGCCCACCAGCTCACAGGCCCGGTACTGCGTCCGCTCCTCCGACTGCGACATGTACCACGTGCTTTTTCAGGCGATGCCGTCGTCTGCGGTCGTCCGCGGGAGCGGTCGCGGTCGCGAGGCCCACGGACCGGTCGTCAACCCGAAGGATCCGCTGAAGAGCACCAGATGTGCTCAATGACCCGATGTTGGTCTCTTTTCTCAAAAGTAGATATGGAATTCTAAATGCTTTCAACATCAAGCACCCAGCATTTGATGGCCGGCTCGGCTGATGGCCCCAGCTTGGGCTACACGATCTCTGCCGAAGTGTTCGTGTCTCTTTTTCGGATCTGCCAGGCCAGGGTGCCCTCCATGATGGAGTCCTGCCATTCTGGAGAGGCCTCGTCCTTTTATGCCTGGAGGCTTGGTTTTACCGAGAGACGAGAGATATGCACATATGTGGCATGCAGCACCGTCCGTGTCCGTGGTGTGTCCTTTGCACCTATGCACCCGCTATCTGGGGTCTATGCCGGTGTAATTAATAGCACGCAACACTCTTCCAACGTGAGAGAGTGACTTTGCCTCCGTGGCTCAAGGCTCAAAGCCAACAACTTGAGTCAGCCATGAGGAGGCTGGACCATAACAACAATGTACAGAAGACTTGAGCAGATAGTCCAGCACGTGAACTGCGCGTACATAGGCAACCGCACTTGCAGCTCCGATCTTTACATGGTAGCGGCGGAGCAATGATCAACGGAACATCCAGGGGGGCTCCAACACATACGGCAGGAAGAGACTTGATCCCAGAACATTAGAGGAGCTTAGTAACATCAAGAAACAAACATCAAGACTCACAACATAGAAGCACAAGCACTGGGGACCCGTCGAAAAGGAAGCGTCAGCGGCTGCTTCAACGGCTGCTGTTGAGCAACATAGAATCACCACGTAGCAGACCCAGATGAAGAGGCATGCAGATAAAGAGATCACTGATGAATATGCACCCGCTTGCCGCAGCTTTATCATGGCAACGAGGCACTGCTAATAAGATCCAGCGAGCCTACAGGTCTACAGAGTAACAGACAAGAAACCGCTGACGAACAACCGGCAGAAGCAACAGTACAAGCAGTCAGAGAAGAGAAGCAGCAGAAGGGCAGAAGCAACACAAGCAGGCAAAAAGGAGAACAGGAGAAAGAAACGGTATGGTAATAGGAGAGCCGACAGAAAGAGAAGAAGGATGGATAAATTTTCGATAGGTTGCTCGAGCTTGGAGTGATCGAGTGATCCTTCGAACTGCACAGCACTTGGGACAATACCGAACGTTGAGCTGATGAGTATGCCTGGCAGTGCTTTTCAGACATCGTAGCAATAGACGAACTTCAAGGACTTCGATCGAAGACGCGTGTCATCCAAAATGAAAAAAAACACCGATCTGCTGAGCTGGAACTGCTTACCGAAAAGATCCAAATGCCAGAACCGAGAGTCTCCTGAGAGTCTCGGCGGTGGTGAAGACGGTTGGGCCACATCAAATCCAGAGACCCGGACCTGATGGCCTGACGGGCGGGGAAATACGATCGAGATAACACGCAACCGATGAAGCGAAGCAGGGAGAA